GGATATGTACGAATTAGATACGGGAGAAGAAAAAGATAGCGCTCGCGCCCGCGCGGCCGTGCTCGAAAATAGAAACAGCCGCGTTGACACTCCGCTACAAATTGTCCGCGTCATGACGCCGCCTCGCTTTAAGAGCCACGCGTCTCGCGGTACACATCTCTCCGGGGCTGCTGCGGCGGCGGTGTCTGTTTCTCCGCACAGGGAGAAAAAAAAGCCGCTGACCGAAAGACGCGCTGCCCGGAGGAAGAGGAAGGGAGGGAAAGGAGCAATCGATAAATCTCTCTCGCTCTCTCTCTCTCTCTCTCTCTTGCGAGACGCTTCCGCATCCGATCCGCTCTTGATCTCCTAATGGCTGGTCTATTTTCATTGCGTTGTCCAAGTTTACCAGTTTAACGATTTTTTAAATTTATCTCGTTTTGCTTGATCGATTTCTCTCTCTTTTTATCATTTATGTAAATTGCGCGAGCTTGGAGGAATATTTTGCCCGCGGAATGACGTGGTTGACGGATAATTAGCTCGCTCTTAGACGGCGAGGCGCCGAGGAATCCGCGTCTCCGAATGCTAGTTCTCTCCAAGTTCTCTTTCTCTCTCTCTTTCTCTCTCTCTCTCTCTGTCTAGCTCCATCATGGGAATTCACGGGCCCTCGCTTTTTAGAAAACAACAGGGAGGATCATCATAAATCGGCCGAGTGATACCCGACACACTCTCGGTTCGTTTAACCGATATTCCGTCTTCCACGACACTCGATTAAATCCACTTTTAACGACCGTACATTACGGCCCAGTATATCCAAACTTCCGTGCTATAATCGAACTGGGACGGAGCGACGTCCACGCGTGCCATCGAAAATAGATTTTTCTCATTCGTTCGATTTTTCTTCTTTTGCCGGAAAATGGGAAATCAGCTTCGATCTTCCCTCGGCGTGGAACTGTGCCGTGAGAAGTGCAGCTTCGCGTCCAGGGAGACTCACTTCCTGATTTCGCGGTTCTAAATAAAATTGTCGCTACTGACACCTCGATTTGCAAACGGAAAGATAACAACTTGAAAAATAATAATGACTCGAATTCTTGCGATCTGTCGTTAGGCCGTTTTATTTATGTAACGATAATCGCGACGAAAGAAATATCAAGGAACGAGCGAATACCCGACATCGATCGACGAATCATTTCTCACTGGGATCCCAGTCAGAAATGACACGTGGATCGACATTGAAACCGTCATTTCGACGTCGATTCGACAAGTCATTTCTCTCTGGGATGATTACGAGCGCAACAAGTTTCGCGCACGGTTTCGGCCCGCGACCGACCGACCGACCGCGAGATTGGCGCGGCTGGAACGCGAGGAATCCTCTTTCAGCTCAGACGAGAGCACGCAGGAGCTGTAACACACATGCAGCGCGCGCCCCGCGAAGCTGCTAATAGTCGCCTAAACGATCGTCCTCCGCCGCGTCGCTATATGTCACCGCCGCCCTCCAACTTACACGCGTCGCCACGCACGTGCGTGTGAATCCCGGCGCGGCGCGTTCCTCCCCCGAGCGTTCCCTGCGTCCGCTCCGGCGGACGAGGAGCGCGAATTCATCCGAGGTAATAAAAGCACGCGCCCGAGATCGCAAGAGTGCGTTCTCTCATCCGCGAGACAGTGTCCCGCCATTCAGATTGAGTCAAAAAACAGCATGCTATCATTGAAATTAAGTTTAGGTGCTTAACAAAAAATCTATTCACTCAAATAAGTTATATGCAGCAATAATTTATCGCAAGATTGCAACATTGCCTAAACGCTGCGAAATGTTGCTGCAACGCTGCTGCAATCTTGCAGCAACGGTAAAATGTCCGCCTCCAGAAATATTACAATTTAATATTACAGCAACATAGCAATATAATGCATGCATAATATATGTTTTCTCGAAGCGCGGTGTGCTTCACTTCTCTTTTTTCACATCGCGTACGGGAGTGCCGGCGCGCGATTGATGATTTTCGCGAGTGAGTGTCATGTGAGTGCAACGAGGAAATCTGAGGGGAGGAGGAGGCATCAGAGGCAACGGCGGAGAAATCGTAAGGTGTCTTACATTTTTATTTAAGTAAAGCGGGGGTTTCTTTTACAAATCGACCAAACTGGCATTAAAAGTGATATATATTCAAGCCGCAACGTTTCGACCTGTTTATCGGATCCTTTTCAAGTACAATCTGGAAACAAATTTCTAAAGTACAAGTCGCAATACAAAGAAAGGAACTTTTAGTACATGAGTATGTGGTACAAAGGGGGGAAAAATACCTAATGTTGACTGAACCTTTAAGTAAAGATTGCTTAAACACTCCATTTGTATGCAGCCCAATAAGCGAGATCGCTCGTTACTCACACGCATCCGTTTCACGAGCAAGAAACGCGACTCAAAGTTGCGTACAGCTGCTGCGCGTCATTCAACGTCGTTCTCTCTCCCGCGCGTCGTTCCGATCCGGATTTGTCCCGAAATTCTTTCGATAACAAGACGACGAGTCCGCGACCTTCCGATCACGCGGAGCTTAATTTACGGTTTAATAACAAAATGATAAGTTTGATAATGTAAAATAATAATATTTAATAAATAAGCTCGACGATTTCATAAATATATAACAATCCGCCAAGAGTGCGTCGAACCGTCGCTTTACAAAATCATTAATTGAATTATTAAGTTGAGCCAAGCTGCTGATATACCGGGACACCAAACGCACGTGCGACATAGCTGACTCGTGCGATAATTGCCGTTTTATTACACGATTGAGTCGCGCTCTGTACTACATAACGCGTGGCTGGCCAAGTCCGCTATCATGTCTGTTTGGATAAAATGGATCTGATGTTTACGTTGAGCGCGTCAAACCGCATTATGTAAAGCACACGTTTCTGAGAGACGCGGGGGATTCGTGGGATTTACACGGGAGTTCGTAGAAGAATGAAACGATGCCTCTCGAATTTCGATTCCCTCGCGAGTCGGACGGGGGGGGGCACGAACTTGAGAAAAATCGCCAGTGATCTCACCCGAAAGAATGCAATCAGCAGATGACGCGCTGATATTGCGAGAAGCGCGATTCCAGGAATCCCTACGAGGATCGGGAGGGTATAATTGGGCGGGCAATGGTACGAATAAGTCTCACTCCCAGTCAGAAATGACTCGTCGATCGACAAGTCATTTCTCGCTGGGCTGCGTCTCCGAGAGTTTCAACTTTATTTTATCTCTCTTCGTACACGGAGGGCAAGAGGGTTCTCTTAAAATTTACCCTGAAAATCATGTAATCGTGGGACAAACGTGGCATTTTAAACATCTTCACGAGAGTTTTTACAATATTCCCAGCGAGAAATGACTCGTCGATCGATGTCGAAACAGTGCCGAATCGACATCGACACCGTCAAATTGATGTCGAATTCAACATCCTTTCGACGAATCATTTCTCACTGGGCCGGACCAATATCGGGACTACTAGATTTCCATGATTTCCCAATATTGCGCCACTAGGGGGTCGTAGCGACATCGAAATATTGACGTCGATCGACAAGTCATTTATTGCTGGGTCCACGCGTTGAGGACTCGCTTCTCGCAATCGTATAATCCAGAGGAGAAATGCCAGAACGGCGTCATCGACGTGCTCTCCCTCGCGCTCCTGGGTTCGGGAAACAAGATGCACGTGCTATTTCCGCGTCCGATGCCGCGCGCGGTGTTGACGCGGCCGCGCTCCCGTAGCGTTCCAGATTTTACGAGGAATATTAAAGCCCACGACGCACGGCGTGTTTTGCAAAACACCGTACTCGCAAAACACAGGCCGGCCATTGGGTCCAGTTTGCGCGTCCGCCCTCCTCCGCCCCCGGTGCACGCTGCTCTCCTCGGCGTCCTGCGCGGGGGAACCGCGCCAGGATGCAAGGCAGCGCGAAACCGCGTAGAAACTATTCTCGGGCGAGACCGTTTTTCGAATGGTTTTCTTCCTGAACGGACCGGGTGTTTTGGTTACATCTCGCGGTATATTAAAATGTTTAACAAAAGGCAGAATCTCGTTAAAATTATTTAGAATAAACTATACGGAATACCAAGTCCTGTACAATGTTGAATATGACATTTACCTGATAAGTCGTATGTAGATTTACTCGATGTACATTGGCATGATGTTTATTTGGTATATTGCAAAATATTTAGCATGACCTTTACGTGATAACGCGACACAAATGTCATACTAACAAGAAATACGTGCGATTACAATTGTTAACAATGAGTGCTGAAAGCGGAGCTTGATATTTTTATTCGTCCTCGGGTAGGCGCCTGTGAATTAAAATACCAAACTGATGCTTGTTTCTACCGATGCAGATTAACTTTAATCTCGGTTTAAATTAAAACTGGAAAAAGATGGAAAGTAAGTTGAACCGAGCGTAAGTCAATCATTAGGGATGAATTTCGAAATGGTTGAATAACAAAACTCTTCGGAGTGAAGTGACTACCGGAAAGAAGATTGTACTTTTCGATGATAAATAATTAAGATTTATTTTCATCATCTCTTACTGTTACACCTGTTTTTTTTTACACGTGGATTCTTCGCCATTGCCGCAGCTGCCACAGAGTGCTCGTACACGATCTCGGTGTGTAATAACTTGAACACGAAATGTTACATTTAATAGAAGCCAATTTTAGTGATTTATACATAAGATAAATTCGCAGTGTGAGTTTCTTGAAGTCGTTACTATGTCTACGCTACTCGTATATTTACATCGTAATCGTCGCGGAAACAAAATTTCGCTCTAATCTGCATAGCTTCACATAAAACGTACATACTCGTACGATTAAACATATACATATAGCTCTCCTATTAAATTCTATATATCTATATATATCTATATATATATAAAAGAACTCTCTACAACAAGACGGCTTTTCTCTACTGCATCGCTCTTCTTACAATGAATCCGCGTCAACTAAGGGCCAGTTTCATAAGCATCGGTTAACTGCTAACCGAAGATCAAATTGATTTTCTATCTCTTCTTAAATAAGGCCTGGTTTCACCAACGTTGTTTAACTTTCAGCTTAGCTTAATTCGTTCTTTGTCTCTTTCCAATCCAGTGAGAAATCACTCGTCAATCGATATCATCTCGACGAAACATTTCTCACTGGTAACTGTTACTTTAGAAACGTAAACTAACGGTAAGATTAAAGTTACGCGACGCGTAAAACCGGGCCTTAGATGGAAGAAAAAGATAGGGAGTCGACGACAACTCTAGTTAACAGTCGACCGACGTTTGTGAAATTGGCCCTAAGAAAACGTTCCGCGAACGTTCATATCGCAATAGAACTAGTATCGCTCGCTTCAGCGCAAAGGGTACGAAAAGTCTCGAAAAATGTTGCACATTATCGTAACTCTCGTATCTGGAATAACGTATCCCTCTCCCAGAATTATTAATCCAGAAATGCGACCTATCTATCGCGATCGAAACGATATCTCGTTTCCGTTGTGAACGAACGAACTTCCTTAGCTTCTCTCTCTCTCTCTCTCTCTCTCTCCCCCCCCCCAAGATATTAAATACTGTCTAGCGGTCGAAAACGATGTGCGAAGATAGAGGTATTTTCAAACGTGTTAGATCGTTGGAAAAAACGAGGGTAAAGCCGAGAAATCATTTTTCGCCCCTGTTCTTACTCCACGCGGCCGATCTCGGAGGCCGCAACAAGCGCGATCGTCACTCTCGCGAAAGGGATGCGGGGGATCGCCGAGGAAGTACCATACCGCGTCGCAATATTTCGCATTGATAAGCGCGACCACCCTCCCCCTCCCCACTCCCAGTGAAAAACGATTCGTCGAAACGATGTCGAATCGACACTGTCAAATTCGACGTCGATTCGACATCGTTTCGACAACGATTGACGTCATTTATCGCTGGGCTGCGTGCCGCTTACGTATTTAACGAGCGCATCTACGCAGTAAAGATGCACGAGGTACATACCTTTAACATCGAATTAACACAACAATAGCAGTTACAAACGAGCTTCACAAACGTTTACCTTGTATTTCCCCCGCGCGGTTAGACTCGCGAACGACCATCCAATAACATCGCTAAACGATTATCAGATATTACTCGATAATATTTGTTAAATATAATTCCGCATTAATCCGCGTTAATTCGCGGAAGGTGCGAGCTCACGGGTCGCGTGCATCCCGCTCACCGTTCGTCGAATAGCGAATCCAGCATCTCGTCGCGATCTAACGCGTCGCGCGATAGATCACGTAGGATCGTCCCTCGATCCTCGCAACGTCGGTTCGTCACGTAGCACGCGCTGCTATTTGACGGCGGTTCCTCTCGTGTTCACATAAAGCACTTGGAACGCGTCTGGAACTCCACCGGCACGAATCCCGTCGTGGAGACGCCCGACGACGTCGCGGAGCCCATCATGCCGGACGGGACCCCGATGCCGCCGACGCCGACGCCACTGGTCGACACGGTGTTGGTCCCAGGTTCCTCCTTCACCACTGCGACAGTCGTCAAACGATTCCAGTAAGATCGTTGAAAAGAGTTGCGTATACGTCGCGGTATTTAAGACTGCCCGTGAAAAGAACAAGGGCCTGAACAGAATGGCAATCTTGCACTTTGAAGACAATGTTTTATGTTTTAAGTCTGTGCCCTAAAGTAACGCACGATCATTGTCTTGTAAGTGTACAAGACAACCATTCCGCTCAGGCGCTAAATCTCGATGTACGTTAAATTATCATACGTCTTTCGCGTCACGTTATCCAACGAATGCGTAATGTGTCCTGGACTGCTTTATGGAAATTTATCACGTTTAGGAACATTGGGGATTTTGTGTGTAATTTTATAAAAAAAAATGGCGCTCACTCTCGGGCCAGTAGCATCTCCCGGGCATCGCGTCCGTGGTCATCGCGGACTCGTGCCTCCTGCTGCACGCGGTGAAGCTGCTGCTGAAGGAGCCGCCGCCCATGGAACCGGGCGACCCGGTTGTTCCACCTGGAACATCCAGGTAATTGCCTTGAAACGCTTTGTCTGGTCGTTCAGCATTACACCGCTCGGCAAAAGAGGGTGCAAAGTGCGAGAATAGTGACTCACTTAACGAGGTACCCAGTTGGCCGTAGCCGTTCATAGGCGGGATTTGCATCGACTGCATCGGCTGCAATTGCGGCTGCAGCTGCGATCAAAGAGACCCCAATGACTCGGTCGGAATCGTAATAAACTATTTAGGTATGCGAACGTGTCGCTTACGAGAAACTAAATTGTATTATACAAGGTAATTGTTAATTTTTGAAAGTATTGTATAAATACAGATCGTTCAGGCGTTATTCTCCATTGTAATAAATTTAAGTATCTCAGCTCGAGATGTTCTCTCATGGTAAAAATTCTCACGATGCATAGATTAAATGTATAAAAGCATTTTTATGTAATGAGTAGAGGAAAGTCCCCTATCATGAGATGGCGGAGTTTTCTACTAAATTAATAGACATCGTCTGTTGGTTTCACTATGAATTTATTGCGTTTGGAGTGCAATCTGTTTAGTGGAAAATTGATTGTTAGATCGTGTAATCGAAGATTTGCGATTGAATTCGGACGTTGAAAACCTACTGTCTCACATTAGAATCGTATCTCATAACAGAGGATCTTCCTCTATATAATAGTCTTTAGTGCGAAAACTCACCGACTGGCAATGGCTGTATGAGAGTTGCGGCTGTTGGAGACTCCATGCGCTACAATGAAAGAAGGTTTCGTACTAATTCGAGGAGGACTATATTATTACAATTAAAATACGTTTTAATAATTAACTAAGATTCAAGGGACATTAAACAGGAGAGTCTTTTCTCGTTCCGGATCTTCAGCCGCGAATTAAATCCGAGTAGCATACGTGACGATCATATTCTGGAAAATATATGAATACCTCGGGTCGTATCGCGTGTAAGCGGTGGGGGCGTACGACGGGGGCGAGTGGCCGAAAATGTTTCTGGGCCCCAGGTGCACGGGGGCCGAGAACGGGTCGCTGTAGTATGGCTTGTGGTACGCAGCGCTTCTGTAGGGACGCTTCATTCGTCTTCGCCTTCGGTAGTTGCCGTTCTCGAACATGTCTTCGTACTGCGGATCTACGGTAAACGCAGAAGAAATATACGTTTACAACGAATATTCGTTAGGACGCAAACGACTCTGACGTAATAAATATATATCCGATCCGTTTAAAAATGGGCGATGACTCTTAGAATTAGGCGGAATTAAATGTACTTTCGTTGAAAAGCACATTATGAATCAACGTATATCTCCAATTCCCGCTTTCTTTAGAATAAGAGAAATTCCTAGGCAAAAGTGTACAGGAAAGGATTCGAGACTTGAAAATTCTAAATCCGGGACAGTGAGTTTGAAGATTAAAAAGTCAGCAATGAAATTTGCGAAACAAATCCCTGACAATCCTTCATAATTCGCCCACAATGGGAACAAAGCTGCAATATTTCGTTGGAACATGACGTTGATTTACCGAGTGTCCAGAAATTGCCTTTCCTCTCGCCGCCACCCTCCCGGGGCACCTTTACGAAGCACTCGTTCAGCGACAAGTTATGCCTGATCGAATTCTGCCAGCCCTTCTTGTTCTTCTCGAAATACGGGAACTTGGCGGTGATGTAGCCGTAGATCTCGCTGAGGGTCGCCCTCTTGTGCTCGCTGTGCTGTATCGCCATGGCGATGAGGGCGACGTAGCTGTAGGGCGGTTTGCTGTTGGTGACGGGGGAAGTATCGTTAGCGCTGTCGTTCGTGCCGGTCGCGACGGTGGCCGCGGTGCTATCGGTGACGGCCGCGGTGGGCGTGGAGGGTGCGGACGGCGTGGAGGGATTGCTATTGGTCGTACTGTGAAGGGCACCGGGCGACGAGCCCTTGTCGTTCAGGTGACGGTGCGTCGCGCCGACGGTGGTGGTGGTGGTGGTGTTCATGGAGACCACCGAGCTGGGGCTGTGCAGACTGTGATGGGGATGATGGTGGTGGTGGTGGTGATGGTGGTGGTGGCTCAGGGAGGCATGGTGCGACGTTAAGCCGCGGCCCAGGCCGCTGGGAACCGACGACGGGTCGAGATCCTTCGCGTTGCCGCTGATACAGTTCTGTAGTTCAGACACGAAGCTGCTTACTGAAACGTACAATAGGAACAATGTCACTTCCCCATTTTTTGTGACAAATGTTAGCCGCGAAAGCCTTTCGTTGCGTCGAGATTGCAAAAAATTCGTCGGCGAGGCGCGTATCTCGAATAGAGCCGAGGAGATTTCAGCAAAATCGGAGCAAGATTGCCACCACGGGCCACCTCGATAGACCGTTTTCGTTCCGCGTAGAAAATTTCTTTCTTCCGATAGCTGCAACTTTCTGTTCCGGCTTTTTATTCGGCATAAAATTTAATAGGAAAACGGCAAATCTTTTGTACCAACCGACTACTTTTCTAGTTGACGTGCAGCAAGTCTTCGTAGAAACTTTCGTTCGTTTCGAGTCGTAATTCTTTTTCTTTTACACAAATTTCCGAAATTTTTGTAGCTCGCGGGATCCCCGGTTAAACAGAGGGAAGTCCTCTATTATGAGATAGGCTCCTAATACGAGATAGCGGATTTTCCGCATCCAATTGTACAAGCCTTTTCTCGCAACGATTACAGATCTAGCAATGAATTTTCCGCTAAGCGGATTTCGCTCCAAGGGCAATAAATGCATAGTCGAGCCAGCATATGTCGTCTATTAATTTTGCAGAAACTCCTGTCTCATATTAGGAGCGTATTAGGAACATATCTCATAATAGGGGACTCTACTTTATTCATAGTTTAATGTTACTTTGACGACGGAAACCATTCTAGCTCTGCGGCACCGAAATTATTATAGAAGACGAGAGCGATCGCGAATTCTGAGACGACGATCGAGACGTGGCGGTCACTCCGAGAACCTGGACAATAGGTCGAGCGTTCCATCATCGATCGGCCGATCCGCACGTGTATGCGCAGCGCGATTCTGAGAAATCTCGTCTGGGCAAAACAATTGACCTATTTAAAAGGAACTCGTGCCTCGGGACACCCGAGGCCCACGGTTTTATGTTTAGTGCCAAGAGTCGATATGTGAGGCGATAAAGCACGAGCGAGAGAGAACGGGCGCGCCAGCGTGCCCCGGCGATATCGAGATACGCGTTCTCCTCAAATCGACCCCTGGCGAGCGCGAACTTTAGACGTGACTAATTTTTGGACTGGCCGTGATGGGCGCGCGGCTTAAAGATTTTTTTTTCTAAGCGTACGGTCCGCGACGCAAAAGATAACGATATAAAGTCAATAGGAGTTGCAACAAGAACATTCATTCTCGGCATATACACTGAAAAAAAATCTGATAGATTCAACCAGTCGTCTGTTAGAAAATGGACGAATCAGAATGCCTTTAGGATTTACCAGAAGTGTAGCGAAGTCTAGCAAACTTCTGGTTATGAAAGATGGAAGTATGCTAGACTTCACTACACATCTGGTAAATCCTGATTCGTCCATTTTCTAACAGACGACTGGTTGATTCTATCAGATTTTTTTTTCAGTGTACGAATCATGCGTTTTACGAAAAGCACGCAAACTATTCGGAGAGAAGTTCGAAGACTAGAACAATTCGAAGGGTCAAGTTGCCCGTGTTATGCAAAAGTCTGATAACATGTTGCAGCAATATTGAATTTGCTTCCGTGATAATTTTTTTACGGTGCGTTAAAATCGCAAAACGGAAAACCCCGGAAGAGACAAAGAGAGAGAAAGAGAGAAAGAGAGAAAGGGGGGGGAGAGAGAGAGAGAGAGAGAGAGAGAGAGAGAGAGAGAGAGAGAGAGAGGGAGGGAGAGAGAGAGACTCGGTACTCGGAAGTGCTGCTGCGTACGAGGGTGCA